GCGGCCGAGCGGGAGCGAGGGGGCGGCCAAGGCGCGGCTGCTGCGCGCCGTCCGGGTCCTCAAAGGAGGAGGTGCGCTCAATCTTGCTGCCGCCGCGCCGGCGGTGAGGGGGCGAGTCGGGGACGTCGTTGGCTGCCGCCTCGGTGTCGCCGAGGAGGGCGGCGACGCCGTTGTAGGACGACACCTTGGGCATCGACTCCTGCCAATAGTCGACGATCTGTGCGCGGCGGGGCGCGGCGGGAAGCGTTAGCGGGCGAGGGCTCGTGTCGCGCGTGTGCGTGGGTCTGTGACGACTCTGTGCGCGCGTGGAGCGCCGCGTTGTGTGGTGGGCCGGCCGCGGCACACCCCCTTGGGCGAAACCTTCTTCTCCTTGCCCGACTCCAGCGCCTTCTTCACGCGCCCCCACTTGCTGTGGTCAGTGAGCCTCTTCGCGTTTGCCGCCTCGTCGGTGAGCGACTTGGGCGCAATCAGCCTGCGGGTGCGGGGTGGCGGAGCGGCGGCTCGGCGCGGTGCGCAGGGAACGCGGCGAGGGCGGGGCGGGGCGTGGAGGGGTGGGAGCGCCTGGAGACCGCGGCCATTTGTGCAGGTTGACTAATCGGGAATGACCGTCCCACCACTTGATGACCGCAAATGTGAGTGTGTGTGTGAAAGCGCCGTCGCAACTGCCATGTCGGCTGGTTGTAGGCTGGTGCTCTCGCCCCGCTGGCGGCGCGGACCGGTGCCGCGGCTCCGAGCTGTCTCGGGCAACCTCAAAATTGGCGCCTCTCTCTGCTGCTGGTGGTGGTGCTGCTGCTGCTGCTGCTGCAGATGCTGCTGCTGGTGCGGCTCGGCTCTCCGACTCGACTCGCCGCGGGCGTCGCGGGCATCTGACGCGGCGGGCGGCGTCGCGGGCGGCAGCGATCGCGGCTCGACGGTGGAGGCGGAGGGCGGTGGCTGTGGTGGACCTTAGAGTTTATTTAATGGTCGAGTACGAGGACTGGGGGTTCAACCGGGAGGCAGGGGGTTCGACCTGGCGACGGAGGACCGTGGGCCATCGCGGGGAGCTGCGCGTCCGGAGGGCGAGCTGTGCTGATCCGGATGGTCTCACCCGGTGGGAGGCACCGAGGCGTCTAGGGCGCTCCACTCTACCTTATGCTCCTGAGGGGCGCGTGGTTTTAACCACGTAGTATGACTACAGCCCACCACAGACACCCTACCTGCTCCTCACGTGTGTACACTCCCTCACCCTCTCCTCTCTCCTCTCTCTCTCTCTCTCCTCTCTCTCTCCTCTCCTTGTCTTGAGGAAGACCTGCGGCAGCGCGAAGACGAGAAGGTGATCAGCGATAGGGGCGCTGGAGTGGTGAGGAGCGGGCGTTGCTTGCTCGGGCGGGCGGGTGCAGTGCTCGGGCAAAAGTTGCGGGAAACAACGCGCGTCCTTCGGCCCGCCGGGAATTGACCCTCCGCGCACGCCTGCCCTCGACTCCTCACCGCGGCCGGCCGCAATGGCGTGCAGCTGCTGCAAGGACGACAAGACCCGCCGCTGCTGTGAGGCCTTTGCGGCCGTCATGCCGTGGTGGGCTCTGCTCGGGATGCTTCTCGTCGTGACCGCCTTTGCCATGCTCGGCAGAGGTGTGCTTGGGTAGTCTGACACCCGCAACACACACGGCCACGCTAGGAAATTTGACCCGGGTCACTCGATGCCACAGGAATCACCGACCTGGACGGGATCATGAAGGCGCTGATCACGGACGGGCTGCTGAAGAGGATAGTCTACGCCTTCATCTCGCTCGTCCTCGCGCTCAACATCCTCCTCTTCGAGCGGATCATCCGATTCAAATGGCGCGCAATCCACCCGCCTCTCCCACCCACCCAACCCGTCTCACCGCCCGCGCTGCCGGCGCAACAATGCGAGACCGCGTCCTCACCACAGCTACCCGAGCTTGCCTCACCTTTCGCCGCTATTGAATCCCGCAGGGCCATGCACTTTGCGCTGCCGCGAGGCTCCTGCGGCGTCGGCTGCGGCTCGGTGCGGCCGTGCTATGGAAAGCACGCGCGCCGCGGCTGCTACTGCTACGAGGTGACCCTCGCAACAATCTCGTGGACGCTCGAGATCCTCTCGGTCCTCTCGGCGATGTTGACCGTGCTGCTGATGGCTGTGATTGTCATCTACGCTGCAGGCCCTCACGCCAAGATACGCGTTTACACCGACGCGCAGCTCACGGCGTGGGCAGGCCCGGTTCCCGCATCGACCTTGGTCTCACCTCTCCCTGCCTCCCTGGCAGCGTGCACCGCCCTCAACCTCACCGCTGATGATTTCGCCGCGATCAACAAGCAGATCAACGACGCCATCGACGGCAGCACCCATCCTCTTGCGTCCATTCACGGCGACTGGAGTGAGCGCCATGACGCTTCGGTGCTGCGTGTGAGCAGGCCCCGCCATCCTCGAGGAGGAGAGGGACTCGGCCGATCTGTGAGACCAGCGACGACGGGAGACCGGCGAACGCCGACCCCCTCACAAGCCGTCACTGAAACAGGTACGACGCGATCTGCAGCGACGACAGCCCAAGCCTAAAGTCCATCGCCGTCGATGCCGCGCTGATGGTCTCGATAGCTCCTCGTGCCCGTTGAGGCGTGACACGACTGCGACGCGGAGGGTGTGGGCCGATCGCCTTGTAGGTTGGCGGCTCCTCGCTCAAGCTAGTCGGGCACGACGTCGTCCGCGCCTGCTTCCTCGCCTCTTGGGCCGAGCACGACAAGGTGAGAGGTGGCGGATAGATTTGAAAAAGCACCCGCACGCCAATGTGAGAGGCAACGGTGTGGGCACAAGGCGATGAGACTGACCGACAAAACGGCCAAGGCGTCGGGTTCGGCGTCGCCGTCCTCTGTGAGCCCGGTGCTGACAGCATGACCACGAGGCGGTCAGAGTGTTGCCCTCGGGATGTCTGCCCAGCCTCCACGCTCTCTCCAATGTCCATGCAAAGATCACGCGCGTGCGTGCGCTGCCGCTGGCTGCGGCCACACCTGCGGCTGCGCCGCTGCCGCTGTGCGCGACGCGCACTCTCACAGCCGTCACAAAGGACACAAAAACCTTCATACTTTAATGTTCAAATGCTAAAAGCCGTCGCCATCGGCGCCACCGCCTCCCACGCATTCAGCGCCGGGTCGTACCGCTCGACTGAGCTGAGGGTGCCTCCGCCGCCGCTGCCGCCCACCGCATAAAGCTTGCCGTCGAGCACCGCCACGGCGTGACGACTTCGAGCCGTCGCCAACGGAGCCACCGCCTCCCACGCATCCAACGCCGGGTCGTACCGCTCCACCGAGGTGAGGATGTCGTCGTCGTCGTTATAGTAGCCTCCCACCGCATACAGCTTGCCGTCGAGCACCGCCATGTCGTGAGTCTGCCGAGCCTCCGCCATCGGCGCCACCGCCTCCCACGCGTTCGTCGCCGCGTCGTACCGCTCCACCGAGCTGAGGCAGCCGTTGTCAATGTTGTACCCGCCCACAGCGTACAGCTTGCCGTCGAGCACCGCCACGGCGAGCTCGTCCCGCGCCTCCGCCATCGGCGCCACCGCCTCCCACTCGTTCGTTGACGGGTCGTACCGCTCCAGCGAGTTGAGGAAGCCGTCGTTGCACCCGCCAACAGCATAGACCTTGCCTTCGAGCACCGCCACAGCGAGACCCCACCGCTCCGTCCCCATCGACGCCACTGCCTCCCACGCATTCGTCGCAGGGTCGTACCGCTCGACTGAGCTGAGGACGTCGTCGTCGTTGTGGTTGACGCCGCCCACAGCATACAGCTTGCCTTCGAGCACCGCCGTGCCGTCGAAGGCATCGGCGCCACAGCCTCCTCCTCCCACTCATTCGTTGACGGGTCGTACCGCTCAAGCGAGTTGACAGTCCCACCCTCGCCGTCGTGGCTGCCGATCACGAGCATGCGTGGCCTCTCGCGCTTCTTCAGCGTCTCCTTCCAGCCGCGGCGCCACGCGCGGCACGTCCCCTTGACGGCGTGCTCCTTGGTCGGCAGCTGGGCGAGGATGTGCGGGGCGAGGTCCGGCGAGAGGAGGACCTCGGAGAGGACCCACTCGGGCTGCTCCACGAGCCGAGCGGCGTGCTCCTCCGCCACGCGCAGCGCGGCGTCGCTCGCGCCCGCCTGCGCCTCGATGATGGCGCACAGCTGCGCTGGGGAGAGGCCCGCGACGCGCGCGCCGATGCGGTGGGAGGCCATCCACGCGGGCGGTCGCTTGCTGCGAGAGACACAGCCTGAAGGCCTTGGATTTCGCTTGTTTTGTGTACGGTACGCTCGCGAGGGGGGGACCTCAAAGGGACGCCGGCCGATCGAGCGCGGCACGCACCACCGCCGTGTGGGCGCGAAGGTACCCGCGCTCCTCGACGTGCCTGAGCTCTCGCCGCGTCGCGTCGAATGCGCGGCGCAGCTGGTGGAAGGGGACGCGCGGATGCATGTGGTGGACGGCGTGGTAGTTCATGCCCCAGGAGAGCCACTCGTACGCCGGGTGGGTGAGCACCACCCGTGCAGTGTGCCTGCGGTGCGAAGACACCAGCGTCAGGGTGTGGCTACGGCACCCTGCAATGCCTGTCGGAGTACACGGCTCTGCGTTCAGAGTCTAGGGCGGCGCGCCGCGCGTCGCAGTCGTGGTCTGTCGACGTGTGCTGCGCGATAAAGTGCCCCCACAGAGCCGGCTGGCCGAGGAGGAGGGGCAGCAGCCAGAGCCGCACAAGCCAGTGCCGCGCGGCGGGCGAGGCCAGCGCGAGGAGCGCGCACGCGACGTACGCCGCGCTCTGCGCCCGCGTCGACGCGACCACGCCTCGCCTCGCGTGCGGCGGCACCCACGGGCCTTCTGCTCGCTCTCCCAGCGCGGCGCTGCGGCAAAAGTGGTAGAGCGCCACCGCCATCTCGCCGCCCAGCAGCTTGTTGAGGTAGTTGCGCAGGCTGCCGTTTGCGCCCGGCAGCTCGGGATCACGCGCCCACACCTAGGTCTTGTGTGTGTACGCTCACTCGGGTTGTGGGGTTGGCAGCCCAGCTGGCAGAGAGCTGGTGAGTTTGTGTGTCTGTATGTCGCTCCAGCGTGCCGTCGTCATCTGGCCAGCACCCACCCACGCCGCGCCAGTGTCCGAGCCCGACTGCTCTTGCCTCTCTGTATCTATCTCACGCCTGCGTGAACTCGTGGTGCTCGCGGTGGAACCACTTGAATGAGTCGGCGTTCATGAAGATTAGGAGGCCGAGCGGCCAGGCGACGAGCTGGCAGAGCCATGCGCTCTCAAAGGCGGTTCCGTGCGTGGACTCGTGGAAGGGCATGTACAGGTGCGAGAGCACGACGCTGTGCGCCAGGACAGCCAGCGGCCAGCAGCGGCCGGCAAGCGCTGATGCAGTGGTGCAGCAGACGGCCAGCGCCGCAGCGGTCAGCGCGAGCAGCGAAAGGTGGCCGCAGAGGTGGCGTAGCCCGATTGCGTCGCTGCGCTGGAACAGGTCAGGCCTCGCGCGCTCAAGCTTGTGAGTGGTGGCCACGCGAGAGGTGCTGGCGGCGGTCATACATTCCGATCAAAAAAGAATTTAAACACGCCACTCTCTCTCACAGCAGACAGGCTCGACACAGGTGCGAACTGGCGCGTGCTAGTACTATCACCGGCACACCACCGGAGCCGCCTAAGCGACTCCGTTAAGAACGGCAATGCACTTAGCTCCGTGCACAATGCCGCTGTCCCCGCACGCTAGCTCGTTCACCGTCTGCCACGCCACGGCGGTGTGGAGAACGACAGACAGGCGCTGCATCTGCAGCCCGTGCCAGTTCTTGGTGGTCCATGTGACCTCATCGAGGTGCTGAGCGTGCGAAAGTTTGTTACTCAGCTGGTCCGCCGCCTGCCGAAGAATTCTGCGGACGCCGTCCCCGAAGCCGCCGAACGTCTCGAAGTCGAGCAAACGCAGGTCGCAATTCTTCTCCCGCGCGAACCGGTAGTCGCCCTTCTCGTAGCGGGCCGTCACAGGTGCCCCCGCCTCCGCCTCCCCCTCACTCTCCCCCTCCTCCTCTTCCGCCGCCGCCGCCTCCGCCTCTGCATCCTCCGCCTCCCTCCCCCCCTCCCCCCCCCCCTCCGGCCGCGGCCATGCAGCATGCCCTAACACTAAGTCGAGCAGCGCCCGCTCGGTGTTGCCGAAGGCGACAAAAGCCCCCTTCCAGCCGAGCCGATCGCCACCCTTGCACGTAAGCGAGCTCGTGAGTTTCAAGTCGCCAACGAGGCGCACATGCCCTTTGCCGATGTTCGCCGCCGCCACGTCAGGTTGTTTTGGGTTACTGTAACTGAGGTGTGCAGTCGGCTCCATCTCGATGAGCATGCCCCACGCCGAGCGAAGGGTCTTGACGAGTCGTTTGAGCAGGTATTTGTGTCGTGTCGCGTGCTTCGCACGCGGGTTGACCATTGCGGCATCGCCGAGTTCTTCGTGCGGCTTGCCGTTTGGCGCCTTCTTGCCCGCCTCCACCGCCTGGCAGGCAACATCGAGCGCCCTTCTCGTAGCGGGCCGTCACAGGTGCAAAGAAAAAAACCACCCCGCGCGACAGGACGGCTTCCTCAGAATTTTACATGTACAACACAGGGCACGGGACATGTGCTAGCGCGCTCCTTGAGCTCATGCGGGCCAAGCTCGAGAGGCCGCTCTCCTACATCGTCAGGATGAGGGATTCGGGCCGCGTTAGGCACGCCCGTTGTATCGCGCGCCTTGCGGGGGGGGCGCGGAAAAGAGGAACCTCTTAGCGCCATCGCCACGGTGCTGCATGCAGCGCCGGGCGACGACGGCTTACCGCCTCCCGGTCCCCCTCGGCACACCTCCGCTGCTCAATGTTTGACGGCTCGAACCCGTGAAGCTTCCCCGTGCGCGGGTTACCCCGCACACGGGTCTGCCTGCCAGCCACGTATCCACGCAAGCGTGGTCCGCGTGCATGGCATACAGGCGTCCGCCAGACAGCGCAGAGGCTAGGCGACCGGGGAAGGACTAGCTCAAGGGCAACACAGCGTCACCAGCCGTTCCGCCAGCTTGCGAGGACCGCACGCGCTAGTGGGTCCATTGACCACACGCCGTATGGCACCTCTCGCGCGTCCACCCGCTCGCACTACACCTTTCACTCCGCCGCCATCTCCGCCGCCATCGTCACCGCCGACGCCCTCACCATTCAGAACTCGGCCGCCGCCCTCGGCTTCGAGCTCACCCTCGACCCTCGCGATCTCGCCCGGCGCTCGACGTCGGGTCGGCCGCCATTGCGGTCGGCGCCACCACCTCCTCCCGCCCCCCCCGCAGCCACTGCCGCGCGGCCGCCAATGCGACCGACCCCACCCTCCTTCCCCGACCCCGCCCTAAGCGCCCCCGACAGCGAAGCCCGCGCCGCGCGCGGCACCACCACCGACTCTACCTCCGACCCCAGGGCCTAGGCGGCCCGCCATGAAATCTAGCCGTGTGTGCTGGCGTCCGAGTCCCAGCGGGTTTTCACGTAACAAGTACACACGGGACTGGCTCGCACTGGCACGAAGTGTTGTGCAAAAAAAGAAGATACAGACCGCAAAAGGAGTTTTAAAAACAAGAAGCGAAAAGAACAAGGAAAAGAAATCGCGGCGGGGGGTGGGTTGTGACTCCAAAGAGGTGCGTGTGTGTGGCAAACAACTAAGCCCAGCCACCACCAGCCAGCGACGAAACAAAAGAAAAGAGGAAGAAATCGCTAAAGAATTTAAACAACACAACTCTCTCTCACAAAAGACATTTGATAACTTTGTTGCCTGCTTTACAACACACACAAACAGAGGTCAAAAGAGAATCCGCAAGGCGAGAACTGACGCGTGACGATTGAGGTTTAAGCTATTCAATATGCACGATGCACGTAAAACACAGTACTATGTAGAAGGGCGCAATAAACATACACGCGCGTGGCATGCAGGCAGAAACATGGACACATCATCCACGAACACATGCATGGCCGAGCACTACAAGTGGACACAGTACGCACTGCTCGGACGCGAGCGGGGCAGACACCCAGGATCGGGGGCTAGAAGCAAGACTCGTAGACCTTTTCCGCGAGCCGCACCACGCACCCCAGCCGCCACTCCTCCTTGCACGTTGGCGGCGGGGGCGGGGCCGCTTCGGCGAGGATGACCCCGTCGAGAATCGGCTTCGCCGCCTGCCATAGCCGCCGGTACCCGGCTCCGCTCTGGTGTGTGTCGTCGGCCACGTAGTACGACGCGTTGGGCACCGGCCCTCCCTCGCCACCCTCGCTGCTCGCCAGTAGAAACGGCGCCCAGTCGATGAGCCGCATCCCGGCGAGCGAGCGCATCCAGCTGTTGAGCCGGCCGCGCACGCCTGAGGTCTCGTTGAAGATGTCGCGCACGTGGCTCTCCTCGAGGCTCGGCTTGAAGCCGCCGACGAACAGCGTGATCCCAGCGGCGCGGCAGTACTCGATCCACGCCTCCAGCGTCACGCGGAAGGAGGCCTCGCCCGTGCCCTGCTCGTCCGACCGCCGGCCGACGTCCGAGAAGGCGGCGAGGAGGAGATAGCGCGGCCTCAGCTCGCCGAGGAGGATGTCGCGGTTGAAGTACATGTCGGTGAGGCTGGCGCCGCCGTAGCAGCGCCGCGTCGTCGGCACGGACACCGACGAGTAGTTGAAGACCTCCTCAAAGGTGACGCCGTCGCCGGCCGCGCCGGTGGCGTAGCGGCAGCTCCCCCCGCCGAGGAAGAGGAGCCCGCCGGTCTGCGGCGGGCCGCCCGAGGCGTCGAAGTCGGCGTTGTCCTTTGCGTACCGCAGCATGCTCTCAAAGAAGCGCCAGCCGGACGAGAGGAACTGCACCGACTCGCCGACGGTCAGGCTGGCCGCCGTCTGGGTGCACTCGTACCCGCTCCGGTCGGGCGGGCAGGGCATGGTCCCGTTGGCCACCTGCAGCGCCACGAGGCCCCTGTCGACGGCGGCAGACTGCAGGATCGGACCGACCCCGTCGCCGGAGAAGCTCGTCTGCTCGGTCGCCCACGGCAGCGCGAGCGCCGGGTCGCAATCTCCGCCGTCAAAGCCGAACGGCTCCGTGTTGAGCCACTGGTCGCATGCGCCGTCGCCTTGCGCCGCGAGGATGAGTGTGGTGCAGTCGACGCCTCCGGCGCCGTACCCGGGCCAGCGGGGGACGAGGCGGTCGGAGAGCATGTAGCAGTCCCCGTCGCTGATCTGGCGCACCTGCGAGGACGGCCGCGTCTCCTGTCGCTAGTCGCTTGGGCTGCGGATAGGGGCCCGCTCTTCCGAGTCACGGTTGCCTACTGCTGCTACTGCTACCTAGCGCACCATGTACGAGAGCGCCTCGTCGCGGGAGATTGACATCTCCACCTCGATCGGGGGCCTGTCTGCGAGCTGGTAGTAGTAGGACAGCTGCGACAACCCCCGCACCGGCGGAGCCTTGAGCAGCGCGGCAGGGTCGTCGCAAAGCGGGGGGCGCGCGCCGCACCTACGGACATGTCACATGTACATGTCCTGGACGTGTCCTCGACTTGGCCGGGTCGTCGCAAGGGAGAGGCCGCATATGCCTCGGATTTGTCTCGGAGGCGTCTCGGAAGTGTCTTTGAGGTGTCTCGGAGGTATTTTGGAGGTGTCTGGAAATATCTCGGAGGCGTCTCGTACAGCAGACCCTCCCCCTTGGAAGTGTCTCGGAGGTGGCTGTCTCGGAACTGTCTCGGAAGTGTCTCGGGTCGCCGCACCGCAGAGCCGCCTCTTCGTCGGGGACACGAAAGCTGCTCGATCCGGTGCAGCGGGTGCCGGTGGGGTGGCTGGAGGAGAGGGCGGGGAACTCGCAGCAGATCGCCTGTCGAAGATGGCCTCGGGTAATCTCGGGTAGTCTCGGGTAATCTCGCAGCAGATCGCCCGTGGTAGCGCGACGCGGGCGCGTCATGGACAGGCGAGGACTGGGAGGCATGCTGCGTCCGCGTCGAGCTGCTAGCAAGATCGGAAGTGTCTCGGAGGTGTCTTGCGTGGCAGCCCACCTCCCCGCCGGCGCAGAGCGTGTCGCAAACAGGGTACCGCGACGACTTGGTCGGGTCCTCGGCGCAGTACCAAGAGTACTCGACTGGCCCGCTCGGCGGCGGCGGCGACGGCGAGGTTGAGGGAGGAGGCAGACGCGGGGCCGACGACGGCGGCGCCGGGGCTGGCGGGCTCGACGGCGGCGGAGGCTGCATCTCGAAGGTCCCCAGCGCGTCCGCGCTCGTCTCGACTCGCCACTGGGCGAGGTCAAAGGCGGCGGTCGGCCTTGTGTTTGAGGCGCGGTACAGGATGGTCCCTGCGGAATACTCCCAAGGCTCGCCGGTGCCATCTGTGTTTGCCACGCCGTAGCGATCGACCACGGACCCGCCCGTCCAGAGCAGCACGTTGTCGTCGCCATTGAAGGAGATCCAGCTGCCTGCAGAGGCGTAGGTCGCGTTCCGCCCGTATTCGCTGCGAAACTGGTCATTCGTGCCGCGGGCGACCCAAATGTGTTGCCCTGCCGCAGCGCTCTCGGCCGGGAGGGTATAGTCGATTTCATCAG